TTCCTTCCAGGAGGAGTTCTGTGTTGTACTTGGCTTTCTAAGTCTTGAAAGAGTAAGCAGAGGCAGAGTGCTTAAGAATTACCTACTAAAGCTTTTGTGAATGTCATTTAACAGTATATTCCTTTCTGTTCATGAAAGGCTATTTCTCTGATTCCTTTGCTTGAAGGGAATGAATCATGCTTCTTTGTTATTATCAGAACTTTGGTGGTTTTTTGCTTTACTTTTAATCATGTTGTTCCTAAGCTGTATTTTTCTGAATTTATTACAAATTTGATTTTCAAAATTGGATCAAAATAATAGTATAAATAAAAATGTAATAAATTAGGATACATAAATGCGTCCTTCAGAACTGGTGATAGAGTTCTGTCAGATCTGATATAACTTTGTGATACTGGAAGTTCAGTGCAGTAAACAGAAACAATCTTCTGACATAAAATGGACATTTTTAGCAAAGCATTTCTTTGTAAAATAAAGCCTGGACAGCTTTGAGTCTCAGCAATAATAATGGAGCAGCTGTTGCAGCGCAAGTGATGCACTAAACTAATGCGTTGTAAGATTTAATTTTTGTCTTAAATCACCACGGATGCTATAACTGAAGTTACCACTGGGATATGTATTGGTAGACTGGTTGGAGCACACCCAAAATTACTCCTGTTGAAACCTCTGAAGCTGAAAGGGGATTAAAATTCTCCTCAGAGGAAGTCTTTGTTCTTCAGTCAGAAGTTGCACTGCTGGTTCCCATAAACCAGGGCTTCTTATATTAGAACTAAAATACACATGGGTGTTTGTTATGCTGTGAAATAGAATTTGTATACTTGTATTATACTTTCTTTTAATTTCATTGCAAAAATCTGTAGTTTTCAAGAAATTGTGGTGATTTATGTATGATACCTTATGTAGAGCTTTGGAAAGTACAGGCTATCAAAATGCAAAATTATCTGGAATAGACTACTGTAAAGGAAAACAAGTCAATACTTTTTTTCTAACAATGCAGAAGGAACAAAAAATTTAATTCTACAAACAAGCTGAAGTCCTTAGTAAAATGCCTTATTTAAATGAGCTTTATATTTAGAAACTAGTCTGGCTGCTTTGTTCTTTGTCTTTAGGTTAAGAATTCACTTTAATAAGTGAGCAAGACAAACTTAAGTACAAACACTTGAGTTTGGCAATGGTGAGGTCAAAACATTTAAGTCCTTAAGTAAATGGAACAGAGTCAAAAAAAAAAAAAATTACACAAGTGAAGAGAAATCCATCAGCTCAGCTTAATTTTACAAAATGCAGCTGAATTCCTTCATGTTAATTTTTAATGATACTTCAGAAAGGAGGGTAGCACTTCAGTGAGGGGTCTGACAAGCTAGTAATTTGCAAATAAATCAAAAGACAATCATTACAGCAGCAAGAACCAGTGAATGATGTAGTTTTGTTATTCTTTGATGGGCCTCACACTCAAGTTCTTTATTAAAAATGAATGTATTCAAGAGGCTCTGCATTAAGAACACAAACAATTACGGGCACTTCAGATGCTTTGCTAAGAGCTGCCATAGAGCTCAGAGGACTTTCATGAGAGATGCAGGCTTCTGTAGCCTGCTTTACCAAGGAGCTGTAGAACATGGGCAATTAGTCATGTTTGTCTATGTTTGAGCAGCTTTCTGCAAAGTTTCCTTTGTTTATTCATCCTTAGGACCTCTCTGTATGTCTCAAGATTAGCAGTTAGGTAATAGCTGTGTTATATTCCAAGGCCTCTAGAAACAGGAGATAAGTACCTTTATTTTAAGACTTTCAAATTCATGAGCCCCAGATCTGGGGGCTTACTCTAATGATACCAGTTAGTGATGTCTAGTCTTGATTAATGAAACTGTCCTTGACTCTTTCAGAAAGGGGTTTTGCTTTCCAGAATGAATGTGTGTACACTCACAGGCACGTGCACATGCATGCTCAAGGGTATTTCATCTTAAAAAGCAAATGTACTTCGTTTATTGAATTGTTGCATTTACATTAAAAGTAACAAATGTTTCTTTTTCTCTATTCTGAAAACAACCTCTTGCAACTCTTGGTCAGCAAAATAGTAATGCACACAAATCGTGCATTAAAACCTAACTTTCAGAACTTGATAGACAACAAATACTTTTTTGTGTTTGTGAATGAAAATATTTTTTACTTGGTATTAGAGGGCAGCAAACAGGAGGTGCATGAAATTGCATAGTAGATAAATAGTTTTAAGCACTTTAAACGTGTTTGTGAAAACTCTCTTAAAGAAACTGCCTTTTACATGCAAGCAGACTTTTTTGTGGTTAATAGAATAGGCATTCCAGGTTTCAATGCAGATGTCTCTTAACAGGCACTTGTAACAAGCAAGAAATATCAAAAGAAACTTATTTTATGGCATGTACATTTAAGTTTATCTAGCACTGTAGTTGAATTAAGGTTGCTGTTCATATATGGTTAGCAATGATGCGCAGTTTAAAGACAAACTAAGAAGAATACACTTTTTTTTTTCTGTTCTGATGCTAAATCAGGTGTGATAGTACTGACAGAATAATTTTAACAGAAGATTAGTGTGGGAAGGGGGTAAGTTGATTATGCCCTCATTTTTAGAAAATAAAGAAAATATCTAACTGACCTTCACTGGAAGGCGGTTATAACCTGATTAACATGATACTGCATTCTTTTGTCTCACTGTTTTATGTCACATATGCTATGTCATTATAGTGTAGCTCAGATATTTAAGACAGAAAAATCCAATAATATGGACAAGTTGCATGTTTTACAGACTCCACTGAGAATAGGATTGCATTTTGTTTCCTTATAGCAACAATAAAGACATTTACCTCAGAACAGGGAGACTTTTGTGTAGATAATTCAGGCCAAAGAACTTTTCAGTAGACACCAAGTGAGTTTCTTATTTTATTCTTTCTCTATCCCCTCTTGTCACCTGCTATGATTTATGCTTGTTCCTGCCTGAAAAACAAAGTTAATCCCATTGGTCTGGGGCAATTAAGTCCTTGGATCCTAAACATCTTAGCTAAACATCAGCCAAACAGATTGCTATGCAACAGACTAACTTTCCACAGCTGATGTACCCTGCTTTCTGGAGAGATATATTAAGTATGTGGAAAAATGCACATTAGTACGTGTGTTTTTGTTTGTATTTTTTTTTTTTCTGTAACAGGGAACTACCAACAGATTTGGTTAACAGTTAGGTCTGATAACCAGTAATAGTTCAGCTGGTAACTTCCAAGTATTGACTCTTATGTATGTAGTACTAGTACTAAAGGCTAAACATGGGATTATAGATGCTTTATGATTGTGGCCCAGACAGAATGGAAAGGACCACTGTGGTACTTCGTGAAATAACAGCTGTTTCAGTTGAGAATAATGTTCACCTTGTTGCAGGGAGCAAAGATTTCCTGTAAAGCAACGGTCACTTCCTTGCCCATTGTTAAGGAAAACCTTTTAATCCTAGGACAAAACCATCCCAGAACTTCTTTGGAAGCTTCTGCAACACTTCATAGAGTAGTTGTGTCAAATACCAGGCTTTGGTCAGGTGGAGTGCTTCATGTCAAGAGAGTTTGAGATGTTTTACAGGTCTAGATGCTGTCATGTATTTTCCCCTGTGTCTGTCAGAGGTTGGGAAGGAGATGTTTAAGCTTGCTAATTATACTTAGATCCCAAATCACCTGTCTCCTGAGACATAAAACTAGAGGGTGGATTTTGTATCCCAATTATTATGTGACTGATGTATAAAGATCAACATATCAAAGTGTCTTCTTAAAAAACCTCAGAACTACAAGAAGGTTCAGACAAAAAGGCTTGGAAGAGAGTAGCAGTTGTAGTCTGACTTAGGTGAATTTATCGTTGTTCAGCTTTAATACGTGTTATTTCATAGAAGGCCTAATGATTCACAGTAATGACTGCATGTTTCTTCTGCCTAGAAACATTAAAAAAAGCCCCAACTAACCAAGAAATATCTTCATGGGTTAATTGTACGACAGATACTGACATGAGCTGTTCAGTGTCTTTTACATAAGCTGTGCTCTTGTCTGGTTGCTGATTTTGGTTTTGTGCAACTGTGCTACAGTGACTGAAATAGCTGTTTTTAAGGAAGACTGAGGAAGTTGTATAGGTACCTTGAGAGTTAATTATAATAGCGGTTCTGAATTATGAGGAGAGGTATAGATCTGAAAGGCTGTAAACACAGATAACACTGAGTAATGAGAAAAAAAGATCCCTTTACCCCACCAGGAATTCAGTGTTTAGGTTGACATGCCAAAATGGGATATACAGAAGTACAAGATATATAAAGCTGTTGAAAAGTGGGACTCAAACTTTGTACTGCTGTAATCTCTGTTAATTTCACTGAAGGATTGTTCTGTTCTTTACTGGTTCCTAACCCTGTTCTCCTGCTGCTCATGGTTTCACAGATTTGCTGTTACACATTTTCTGATTTTTTTTTTTTGCCATGTTTGCATTATTTTAATTCTCTTTCAATATGTATTTTAGAAGTCTGTACTTTTTGTCTCCATTCTTCTTCACTTCTGTTTTAGTATTTCTCTTGTATTCATGATGGTGCATTTGTCATTTTACCTTCTAATAGGCAGATAAAATTGATCATGAAAGAAGCATTTTTCTTCTGAGCCAGTTGCCTTCATGTTATGCTGCTTGATAATTTGAGTAATAATAAATCTACCTTTTAAAAGGTTTTATCTTTGAGTTAATGGATTTCAAAAATGCTCTGCTTATTAATGTACTATATACAAGGACCAGATTTGTGCCTAAATGTGTATACAGATTAGGTGCTTTAGACATGGCAGATGTCCTAACAAAATCTCTTTCTTTGTCTGGGCTTATATACTAAGTATTTATATTTGCAGTACTATGGAAAATGGGTAGTTTTTTGTTACTTTCTTCACTGTCTGAACTTAATATAATCCTATATACTAGTTAATATATGTCAAACTTTCTAAAATGCAGTTTTTAATCATAATACTTTTCCTCTGTAGACAGAAATCGCGAAGAGATTGAATACAATTTGTGCACAAGTCATCCCATTTTTGTCTCAGGAAGTAAGTAAAACTGTTCAGCTGTTAAAGTGCAATTATGTTGTTTTTCTGTTTGCAAATTAGCTAGTTTTACGATGTTAATTTTATCACAATACACAAGTGTAAGGAACATCTGTTACAGCTGAAGTGTGCAAACCCCCTGCTAATTTGATCTAACAAATCTGAGTTCAAACTAGTGACAATGGCTCAGCCTCATTCATTTCCTGAGTAGAGTGCGAGTCTATAAAATAGTAGCAATACAAGAAAATGCTTTCATTTCTGATCAGGGTGTTTGTTTATTAGATAGTCTTTGTCAAGTGTAGATCTAATGAAATAAGCATGGTTATGTTCTCTACATAGTTTATATCAAAGGTGTGTGTTTAGCTCATTTGTAGAACACTAAGTTTGTAAACCTACCTTTGGCCTGAATGACTATGATTTTAGCATGTTGTGGGCAGCTGCTGTTACATTTTGAAACTTATTATTTTGAAACTCTTACGGTCTTACAAAGAGTATTTTCAATTCTTGATTTCAGTGGTCAATTTTCCCTGTTTGAAATTTCAGTTTGTTTTGCTATGTGAGCACAGAGTCTATAAATGTTAAAACTGAAATTGATGTAAAGTTGACCTTATTATCCTGTCAGCTCAATTAAAAATGATTATTCATTTGCCAGAAAACTAATAATGAGGGGATGTAGGGTAAGAGATAAGCTGGCAGCCTTCAGGTCTCTTCTTTCCTTTTGAACAGGGGGAAAAATAGGGCATTGTTATCTTTTATCTGCATGAGATGTCTTGCAATAGGTAGTGTGAGCTTCTGCAGACAAACTGGTTATTCAAGTATTTGTGATCCTAGTTTGATATGGTGTAGTAATACCTTAATTCAAATTCCTCCTTATACCCTTTCTTCTTTCAACAGCATCAGCAACAAGTGGCCCAAGCTGTAGAACGTGCCAAACAAGTGACCATGGCTGAATTGAATGCCATCATCGGGGTACGTGGCCTTCCAGGTCTACCTCCTACAGTGTGTATAACTTGCTTTCATATCTTACTGCTTTGCAATTTTTAAGATAAACTGAAATGTTTTGATATGTAACACTGTTTTGATGCCTAGCATTGCTGAAGTGTTTTTGTTTCACACAGATTTTAGCAAAGATAAAGATAATAGTTTACTTTGTCAGAACATGATTTTGTCCAGCAGTGCTGCATGTAACAAAACTTTTCTGCAAGAAATATAGTTTTAGGAGAGTTGCTTGTTTATTTATGGGTATTGTAAGTCAGTTGAGCTAGATACTTTTTCCTCATGCTTTTTGTGACACTTGAGTTCTTGGAGCTTATACAACTATTCATTCTTCTTTCTTTCCCTTTCTTGTGAATCTTTCATGAATTTTAAATTAGCAAGCTACTGAATAGAAACTTCACTTGCTTTTGAAGTAGTATTAATTGTCTGACACAGTGTTCTAATAGCCTTTCACCAAGAATGTGCTTTTAAATATGCTAAAAAAGTTAATACTACTTGCTTGTGACTGGTTGTCAATCACAAGTCATTTGCTTTGTATTAATGAACTTTTTGAACCATACATTCCTTCCACTGTATGAGTTCATTTCCCCTGCCACTAAGTCTGGAATATTTCTCATGTTTTCTGCCCCTCCGACTAAGTGAAAGAAGTAGCCGAAACAAGAACCTGTCCTTTCTGATTTTATTCGTATGTGAGCGCCTTGAGCGGATTCAAATTACTCATTTATCAATTTATGTTAATTGCTTGTGAGAAGATGCCCTGCTGGTCTTTATAGTTCCCTCAGACACTTTGTAATGATAATTAGACATGCTGCTGTACGGATTAACAGTGCCATAGTCCAATGACGTCTACAGACAATGGAACCAGTTAATCCATCTGTGCTTAAAATTACATCCCAACTGGAGATGGAAAAAAAAAAAAATAGGAGTGAGGGAGGATTAAAAGAATGAGCCTCAGCTTGAAAATGCTCCTTTCATCAGTTTCTCAATTGCAGATCTGCAGTCGGTTTGCCTGTGGTAAGCTATTGGCAGTCAATTAGGTGAAATAAACTGGGAGGGTGACCTTCATTTCCTTTTAATAGCTTTTCCTCCCTGAAATGGGGAGCTTCAGTGGATTTTCAGCTTAAATTTTATTCAAGCTGCTTTATTACACTTGACAGATTAGCTTTGCATAAACATACCCCCCCCTTCAAATCTGTGCTGTTTTTCCTTCGTATCAAATTTTGACTGTTACTTAGTTGATTTGCTAATCACATCTTAGAAACCCACACAATTACATCTGTATTTGTCAGAATCTCCTCTATGCTTTGCTTGTGTAATGAATTAGTTTATGAATACCTGATTTGATCTTTGAAATACACCACCACATGTACATTTGTGGTATTTGATTAGCAAAGATTAGAGAACCGTACTTTCTTGCATTTTTTAAAACAAATGGCTTCTTAAGGAATGAAAATGGAATGGAAAACTCTTCGTTATGAACTAGTTTTAAAGAAGTGTTTATGCAGTAAAAGGAAACATACTAAAATATATTTTAAAAGATTCTTTCTCATCTTAAAATAGTGCTACTTAGGCAAACCAAATCTTGCTATCTCAAGCATGTCATCTGCTTCTTTTTGAAGTCCACACAATACAGTCTTAAAAGCCATAGGATCTGCAAGTACCACATGCAATTAAGAACTTTAGGGTTTTTGGGGGAGCAGGGAGGGAAAGCTCTTTGGAAGCAGGAATTGTAGGCTCTACAGTTTTTGTTTTATTATTGTTGAAGATTTAGCTGAAGATATACTTTCCTATGTCTCATGAAAAACTTCTGAATGAAGCCATACAAATTCAAAACTGTGAGTGGGGAAATTAACATGCTGGGCACAACATTTGTTTGACCATGTAAGATGCATGCATTTACATAATGCCAAAATTAGAGGTATGTCCCAGTGATCTTTTACAGTCTTATTAATCAATAGTTACCTTGTGCCGCACAATAGGTTTCATGCTCTGACATATGCTTGGTTCTGTTTGAAAGGGACGGTGTATGCCCTGGAAAATCTGAATAGCATAAAATCAGGCTGACAATTCAGTGGACCTTTGCTCCCCCTCACTGAGCACTCAGGGTGTCAAGCCCTTTCCCCAGAGGGGAGGACACATCAGAAGCCTGTCTGTTCCTACAAGCGGCAGCTGCACCGAGGGTGAGCACGGCACAGTTTGATAGCAGCTGTCAGTATTGTTCAGGGGCCCGACTTAGTGTAAAGAACAATGGAAGGGCCATGCTGCTAAAGTGCAGTGTCTTTCAAGATAAGAAAAGATATAGTAATTTAACGGTTTAGACACCTATTATGGGCATGAAAGATCATCAGACTTCTTTTCAGGGTGCAGATTGGTCCAGCCGATCTGTAACAGTAGAAGATGTGATTGAGGCACTTCTGGTGTCCCTCTACCAAAAATACATGCATATGGTAATTGTTGAGGATAGGAGGGATATTTCATTTTGCTAGCTGGCTCTAGCTTGCCTGGTTTCTCTTGACTAAAAAAAATTCTGCATTTCTGCCAGGATTTGCCTTTTTTCCCCCTCTTCCTTTCTGTCCTTAAGGACCATTGTTTCATGACACCAGATGATTCAAGAGTTTCCCACTTGGCTTCCTTCATTAGACAAACTCCTGTTACTCTCGTGCAATGTGTGAATTGTGGAAGGAGAAAAAAAGACTTTTTAATTACTGGGAATAATGTTTTGAAATACAAAATTATTTTGAACTATATTTATTTTATACTTTTTATTTCCAGTTGAAAAGAGAGAAGCCTATTAGAGGACAGACTATGAGGATAGAGACTTACAGTCTCACAGGACTGGGATTTTTCAGAGAATTTGCCTACAAAATCAAAAGCTGGGCTTGGGAATAGGTGTATATTAAGTACATACAAAACAGAATGAATAAATTGACACATTTTTTCAAGAAAGTAATATAGTTGGACTCAGTGAGCTTGCAAGCAGTGCTAATCCTCTGTGTTGATTAAAAATTCTTACTTCAGGAAAAAGCTTGGATGATGTTTGATTATTAACAGTCATACTCCTGGCCTTGCACTTATCCTATGTGGTCTTGAAGGCTTTTGCTTTCAGCCATGGGGTAACAGTGTGGCTTAACCATCTCCTTTCAATTTTTTTTAAATAGCACCATTTAATATTTATTATATTAGAGTAGAACGAAGTAGCAATTTTGCTAGATAAATAATGAACAAAGCAGAAACCCTAACTAAAAGGATAAGTGCCCCCATTAACTACTTGGCATTGCTGCAGCTGCAGGCAGTGTCCACTTCTGCGGTTAAGGAAAAATCTAGATCATGGTATGAAGGAATATTATGGTTTAACTTGAATGGTTGTTTTGGCTTCTTTGTGGGTGGTCTGGGTTTTTTTTGTGTTTTGTTTCATTGTTTGCTTGTTTTTTTTGTTGGGTTGTTTTCTTGAGATATGTAGAAAATAGCAAGCTCACGTTAGGGAGTTTTAAGTGGCAGTTAAGTTGGTATGTCTAGGTGTGAACAATGCAAGATTAGATTTGCTTTCTAATCAATTAACCAGTATGAGTAGAATATGGAAATATGCAAATGAGAAATACAAGCAGCAAGCAGGAAACTTCAGCACTGCATTTTTGATGCATGATTTCAGCATACCACTGAGAAGCCAGGTATGTCTTATTTTTCCTGTTGAGGTGGGTTGTTAATGATTTGGTGAAATATGTATCTTTTGGACTGACAGTGCTCCTGAGACAGATTGAGTTGTTGGCCACCGAGAGGCCTCTCCACTGTTGCATGAGGTGATTGGCTAAAGGATTAGCAAGATGTGGGATTATTTTTTCTCTCTTGGCTGTGGTTGCCAGCTATCTCTGGGATTGTAGTGTGTGAAGCTTAAGAGGATGAGGTTAACCTCTTGAGGGTTTATTCTTATGAGTGTGTAGTTAATCCTTAGAAAGCCTATAAATAACTAGGCTGTATGTTTCATTATAAAATAGAAATACAGACTAGAGCAGAAATGAATGCAGAGTTTAGTGGAAGGGAAGAGCTAAGCAGCTGTAGCATTACTTTAGATCCTTCTCAGCCATGATCTTTATTATGTGCTGAGGGAGGGGAAATTGCCTAGTTCTTTTAAATTAAATAAAATTAGATCTGGTGAGCACAAGACACTCTCCTCACTTTTAACATAAACTCCATAACTCCAAGTCTAAATCACTGAACTCTGGCAATGGGAGCTCTATTGTGTAGCAACATCCTGGGTCATTCTTCATGTTTTAGAACAGATAGAAACCTTAGTTTTATCTTAGGATTCATGGTAGTTACTTTTAGAATACAAAAGCTCCTGACTTAGTTTACCAGTTTAAAGTGTACAGCAATGGAGGGAGGTATTTGTCAGCATGATAGGCAGTATTCTAAAAATACCAGCCCTCAATGGTCAGATTTTTACTCTTAGTGCCACTAAGCTTGGAGGAAAAATATGGAAGTGGTATTGATGTGTATTGGTATTGGTATGATGTGTATGTATTGACCTACCCAAAAGAGAAAATGTGGGAGAAGGTGTGTAGAATTTGAAAGAATGGGATTAACCAGACTTTTTGTCTTGACTCCCCACCCTCACACACCCAGTCTCTGTGGCCTGATGAGAAAGGAAGAATACTGGAGCAGCAATGTAGAGGAAGGTAGTATCTAAATAAGACAATTTTCTGCAGGTATATGAAGAAGGTATTCTCAGTCATTCTGGAGAGGGCAAAATTGCATCCAAAAGTCAAATGGAATTGAATTGCTGGACAGACCTCCCTTGTCTTGCAAAGCTTCATGTGGGGTGGATGGAAAAAGCTTCACCTTGGATCTTGCCCAATAGGAAAAGCAAAAGAGCTTCAGGTGGCTCTCATCAAAATCTAGTATCTAAACTACAAGTTGAAGGTGGACCAAGTGTACAGTTATAAATTTGTGAAGCCCAAGAGCTTTCAGGAAAGGAGTGAAAGTATGACAGTTGAACAGAAATATTG